TCCTCGTGAAGGGGGTTGGGCTGCGAGGGAGGGCCCCTCTGGGTGGCTTGGAGGGGGGTGGAGTTCACGGAGCTTCGCACAGACCCAGAACGCACTTCCAGGCGGCACCGGTCCACCTCCTGCCCCTACCAGCCACCATGTCTAACCTCCTGCAGCCAGGCGGCTATATCTGGGAGCTTCCCCCTGACACTAGAGAGAGTCAAATCTTCTCAGAATCCCCAGTGTCAGGACTGGGAGTGGCGCTGGGACAGAGCGTATCTGCTGGATTGGGACCGCGTGTACTCACTCCATTAACGCATCCAACTGTCACCAACATGTACTGCAGCACAGGCCTCTCCAATGGCACCCCACCAATGAGCACAGGCGCCGGACATGATCCCCTGCCGACCCCTGGACCCCCCTCAGCACATTTCACCCTCAGAAGGAGAGAGGTTGGACCCAAATGATAACACGCCCTTCCCAGAGAAAAGCCTTGGCTCATGGCCATGACCCTCAGTGCCTGGCTCCTAACCATGGCTGTCAGGCCCCCTCCCACAGCCCCTCACTGGGCTCCCCAGGGCAGGTCAATACAAACGTGCTAACTGATCTCTTGGCACAAAGGGGAGTCTTGAATTAAATGGTTCAAACGCTTTTTTCCTGACTTACAATTTGGCCATCTTTCCCTTTATGCAGAAAAATCTCCAATAATTTGGAATTTATGACCCTTTGGACAGGGACTGGGCTGAAGTCTGCTTCTGGACTATTCTGACTAGAAAGGCTTTTCGAAGAAAATTAATAGCTTGCCAAAAGACCGGTAAAGGGAATGCTTATCCCATTATAAGGGGGAGCCCCTTTTTAGCCCTTTACTGGCTCACCTGTATCCACAAACAATTGATATACTAATTACAAATGGTTTTTACATGCTCATTAAGTCCTCAACTACTATTGGTCCACTTGATTATCACAGTTTGAGCTAGCCTCAAACACTAGGCTTTCCACTTTGAGCCTAAACTTCTTGGGTACAAACTTTTCTGGAATAAGCGATTAACAAAGATAATTCATGATGCCAGGGGAAATGGCTACACCTCTTTGGTGCGGGCAGAATCCGTGGATCTTATTGACGCACGCTGCTCTCTCCCAACTGGGATGGGGTGAGGTCTGACCGTGGTGAGCCTGCATCCTGGTTTGCCTGGGACAGTTCCTGTAAGATCTCCCATCCTGAGAGAACTACTCACAGCAACCCCCTTCCTTTCAATATTGATAGAAACCATAGACTATGTAGTCGCTCTAGATTCGATGGAACTAGGGATTAAAATTATGATTTTCAAGGAGGTTGAGCCTTCTCTAGACTGGCAGCACCTGGTCATCTCTATGCAAACCCAAAGAATACTCCATCAAGATGCTGTGCCAATCCTTGTTGAATCCAGATCATTCTTCAACCGAGTCAGATCAGAAAGCAGCTCACCTTCCCCTAAGGGCTGGGAATTGTGGACCGCTCCCAGCTGCTGTGTGTTAATTCCATCTCCATGTAGTTGCCTGCCAGGAGTTGAAATCCCACTGTTACTGTCAGCACTAATGGGGTGGGGAGGGAAATGGGTGGGCACCGAGAGCACAGGCCCGGGAGGAGCGGCTGCTTGCCTTCGGCCTTCGCAGCTCGGACTGTGCTAGAGGCGATGCCTATTAAACGACCGCTCTGCCTGCACACTGTGGGAGTGCTTTACCTTCTCCATCCTCAGACCTCCCTGCCTGAGGCGCTACTGGTATTATTTCATTTCCCAGCTGACAAAACGGCTCAGCAAGGTAGAGCCACTGGTCCAGGACACTCAGCTGCGTGGCAGAACCGAACAGAAATCCAGGTTTGTCTGAAGCCCAGGTCTGAACTGGTAACCACTGTGATGTACTGCCACCC